TCGCCATCACTGCCTTAGACTCTCACCCTTTAGCTCGCACCTCTGCCTAGGAGGAGCCTTACAGTTAAGAGGCCCAGAATGCCTGCCTCCCAGCAGCAACAATGGAAGGTGGGGTCTGCAATCAGCCCCAGGCAAACAAACCTTGCTCAATGAGCAGTAGACCAGACAAAAGAGTCAAACAGATCCAGACAAAAACATCACTCTCCAGCAGGCTACAAACACCCTCTCACCCTCAAACTCTCTCTCATAAAGCAACCTCAGTTAATGCTCCCCAGTAGTTTAGCAGTTTAGGAACTCACATTCCCAGCAGCTCTCTTCTAGGTTCTTTCTCCCAGTTCTCAAGATGGTCTTTATTTAATTTGTCCTCAAAAAACACTGAGGCTGGAAAAAAAGGACTTTTTCAAGTGCAATTCTAAGGGCACATTCCTAGGCTAGGAGTAAACTCCATTGACTTGTGTGGGATTCTGAGTAGACTGGTTTAGGATGTCATGGTGTAGACCCTGGAAGGTCTCCTAAACCATTAAGAGATTTTCATGAATGGGACAACAGCTTCAACAATTGAGACTTTCTCATCAGAGCAATGGGAAAACCAAAGCATTCCTTGCAATCCTTGAGATCATGTTTGCAAAATAGGCAGAGTAATGACCATGGTCTTGCAGGGATAAAGAAAATTTTGCTGATCAAAAGTACTGTATAAACTATACACAGTACCTGCTGAGTACAGGAGATGTTTATTTTTTTAAAAATGGAAACGGGATACTCCTGTTTTAAACAGCTGAGACTTTCCACAGACACTAAAAATTAGGTGTTGTCAGCTTTGTCTTCCTGTATGCATCACACATTATTTTAGTATTGCTTTCTTGATAGTAAATATATGCTCATCTACATAAATAACAATGTTCATGGATAATTACTATGCATACTCATCCTTGCATATTATGGCTTGAGTATTGCAGACACCTGCTATTAATTACTATAGTTTTTGAGTAAGAAGGAGCAAGCCCAAATAGTTAGAGCAGGGGTCTCCATGGCACCCCACCAACATATTTTCTGGTGCCTGCCAAGTGTTTCTAGAAAGTGGGCGGGGCCAGGTGGGGCTTTTGCCCAGCAAGTCTTCTGACTGGCTATTGAAGATCTGATTGGCTCTGCAGATTTTTAAAAAATGTTGCTTTGGCAGCAGCTGCCACCACACCACAGGGATCTACACTGTGTTACTGAAGTTAGACTGTGGCAATCATTTTGTGGCTGGATCTGCCTCTTGTGACAGCCATTTTGTTGCTATGCCACTATGCTGTGTCAGAATTCCAAATGTTTCCTCAAGCTCAAAAAGGTTGGGGACCGATGAGCTAGAGCAACTGTTCTTAAAAGTGAGGAAAAAGTAACCTCAAGAAGAAATTGTTAAAATGTTACTGCCTCCGAAGATGCATGTTCCATTTTATTATACTGGTAAATAATCATTGATAGACCTTTCCCCATGAATTTGTTTAAACTCCTTTCAAAGCACTCTTACTATATGTTGTGGTAGTGAATTCTATGTTGTGGGAGGAGAAATAATATATTTTAAAATATTTTAAAATATTTCTATCTTGTCTTGTTTCCTTAGACTAAAAAATCCCACCTATCCATTTTCTCATAACATGCATAGTGTATCATGTCTCCTTCTTCCCAGTCATTTTTTCTCTGAATTGAAAAGTTCCAAATCTTTTCTGTGTAGAGAAATCATTTTGTATCCCTTTTCTGTACCTTTGCCAGCTCTAAATTATCTTTTCTGAGATGTAGCCGCAAAAACTGTGCTGTATTCCAAATTTGACAGCCAGATAGACCTAAGAACATTATGCTGCTCTTGGTGGGTTTGTTTTCAATCAATTTCAAATCATCTCTAGCAGAGGTCGAGTCGGGGGGGATCGCGGGGGATCGCAGTTCCCCTGGATGAGGTGCGGGGGGTGGGGCACACGACGAAGCCCCGCCCCCTGCTTCCGGCCGCCCCGCTTCCAGCCCTCATTCAGCCAGGAGGAGGCAGGAGAAGAGGGAGGGTAAGTTACTTCCTCCCCGCCTCTCCCCACCCCTGCCTGCCTGGGGTCAGGGAGGGCCTTGGCAGGGCTTCCTCGCACTCCCGCCGGCCTTGCAGGTCCACCGCCGGGCCTTATGATGTCAGGGGGTGTGGCATATGCTAATGAGTTATGCTAATGAGTTCCCCTAGCTCTTTTTCTACGAAATGACCCCTGATCTCTAGCATAGAATTTGCCCTTTTCTTGGTCACTGCCACACACATTTTCATAGAGCTATTCACCATGACCCCAAGTCTTTGCCAGTTCAGATGTCATCAGTATATATATAAGGTTAGGATTTGTTGCACCAATGTGCATCATGTTACAATTACATACACTGAACCTGCCTGTAGCCAGCGATCTTCAGAATATGCGTTCTCCATGTGCTAACTCTGCAACAGGCAATTACTGATGAGAAATTTGAAAAGGTCTTCACTCACATACACCCTATTTTCGAATTCCCTGCCCCCTGGAGACCTAGCTAGCCCCCTCACGATCATTTTCCAGATGGTCTTCAAAAGGGATTAAGCCCTTCCCATCTGTAGTTTAATTGGCTTTGGTTTTTAGTGCTGGGTTTCTTAAATATAATGGGAATTGTTATTACTGCTGCTTTAGGTTTTTTTATATATATATACACATTTTTTATTGCTTTTCTAAAACTACAACTCTACAGGGTCAGGGAAAGGGAACAACCTAAAATATAGAGTAACAAGGATCTTGGTTACAGTAGTTTAAGGTAATTGAAACATCTCTAATTCTGCGAATAATAAAATGTGTGTAAGTAAATTCTGTTGAGTTCAATGGGGCTTATTCTCATGTAAATATAGAAACACAGCCTGTGTTTTCCACCCGTAAATGAAAAGGCTGAATCTAAGTCCTGCCCTTCTACAAGAAAAATACTCAGGACAGCTTAGGACCAGTTTTCCCTCTAAGCTGAGTTAGTGTGAGCTAGCTGGAGGTCTCCCATCCAAATACTAGCCAGGGCTGACCCTGCTTCGCTTCAGAGATCTGACATGATCCAGCTAGCCTGGGCTATCCAGGTCAGGGCTACCAGGAAGTAAACACCATTAAATACAGTGTGGCTTGTTTCTAAATAAACTCGCATATGAATAGGCTGCCAGTTATATTAAGGACAAACACACTGTCTGATGAAGTGTGCATGCACACGAAACTTATACCCAGAATTAAACTTCATTGGTCTTAAAAGGTACCACTGGACTCAAACTTTGTTCTGTTGCTTCAGACCAACACGGCTACCCACCTGACACTAGTTTATAGTCATCCTGCTTATGAATATGTTACTTAAACTGGAGATGTGATTGTACTACGTTACCCTAGCTTCTCTGTTCCACTGAATCAATGCACTCCTATATAAAAACTGTATTTATTGATTGTACCTCCCCCCATTCAATTTTATTCTCACAACCAGCCAGTCAGTAGGCTAAGATGGAGAAATAGTGACTGAATCAAGATCACCCAGTGACTTCATGGCAAAGAAGGAACTAGAAGGGTAGTCTTATTTTGCTCTATTACAAAGAAATAGTCACGAGAGTTTTGTGAATGATACCAAAGGTAGGTTTCCTCTTCTGACATTTCTGGTTGACTTCCTTACCTGTATTTTTAACGTGATCTCATTGTGAGCTCCACATCATGTTTAGGAAGTGAGATCACATGAATTTCCACACCCATCCATGTGAGAGAGAATACAAGATTAAAGTCACTTTTGTGTTCATAATATGAGTTATGGCTACTACAAACTCAGAGCTGCTGAAAAAAAACACACACAAAAATCAAAACAAACTTTTCAAATGATTGCATTTTTTTTAAACTATTCCTTTTATCTTATCTGCCTGTAAACTACAACCTACACAGTGTGGTTCAATCCTATAGGATGTACATTCAGAAGTACATGCTGCTAAACTCAATATTTTTATTCATTTATTTACTTCACATATACCCCTTTCTCCCCAGCAGGAACCCAAAGCAGCTTCCACCATTCTCCTCTCCTCCATTTTTATCCCCATAACAACCCTGTGAGGTAGGTTAGGCTGAAAGTGTAAGTCTTGTCCAAGGTCACCCAGAGAGCTTCCATGGGCAGAGTGGGGGTCTGAGCTGGGGTCTCCCAGATCCTCGTCCTGTATTCTAATAACACCAGGACTGGAGCCTTCATTTTCTTCAAGCTCCTCTTAATCTATAGAAAATTTGGTTGATGTTAGGTTGCACTGGATAGTAGTATCTATAAATGAAATACTCTCCAAAGCTTCCACCAGTTTGAATTTTTACAAAAGTATGTGAAGAGATGAATGCATATCTTTGTAAACACTGAAGTAATACTTTAAAAAAGCAAAAAAATAAAATAAAATAAAAAAATCCTTTGGTGCTGCTCTACCATTTGAGGAACACTTTCCTTCTTTTTTTAAAAATTAATACCTAATTCAAATTAAATATTTTATTCGATTTTGGCCCTTCGACATATTTTATTTTATTTGGCTCAGTGAGCGTTCCTCGCTGAGGCTCAAGGTAAATTACAAATGATAAAAAAATAAATGCAAACTGGTCTATCAAGGTCCTACATTTTATGTCCTGTTAACACACTTTTTACACACAGACGCGTACATAAAAATCTCTTTGATGCATGTGACTTTTGCTATGATGAATGGATGAGTATTTAAGATACCACCAGACTCGTTTACTAGTTAGCGAATGCGCTTGTTCCGTTGCTATCAAGCCTCTTCTTTTGTTGTTTAAACCCTTTTGTTTGCCGCTACGAGGAAGGAAGTCTAGCGAATTCTCCCACAAGTGGCACAGGTCGCCCCTCCTCTTTTTCTTTCTCGGTTCGTGCAGGTGAATAATAGGACATTAATCCCGCCCGCCTGCCTGCGGGATGAAGTGATAAAGGGTGACGGGAGGTTGGCTGCGGGAAATGACCGCCTCCCTCTCCTCCTCCGGACGCGAAACAAACACCTCCTCGCGGCTAGCAGCAGAGCGCGGCGCTCTCGTTTACTTGCCTTCCTGCCCGTAGGGATTCTATTATTCTCACTCTCACCTCAGGGAAGGGCGCTTGGCCGGAGTGGCGCTGAGGCAGCTCCCCGTGGAAGGAGACTGTCTGTGAGGAGAGAAGTCGTCCTGCGCCTTGGCTGAAACTGAGCAACAAAGAGCCTTGTTCTCTTACCGCGGGTAAGCTCCACGTTAAACTTTTGGGGGTAAGCTTGTCTCGGAATTAAGGCGATACGCCTTTCTCCCCTCATTTGTGAGCTACTGCTGCGAGATGGAAAGAGCTCTCCTCAGTTACACAGTCATTTTGTTGTATACAATACTTAAAGCGCAAAGTTTTTAATGTAAGAAGTCGTCTTTACTGGAACTCTGGCGGTCTCCTCCCGTTCTTTTTGGTTGCAAACAGCCGCATAACCTTGCGTGTGTTGAAAGGGTACTAGACAAATGCATGTGAGACAGGTATGACCAGTCAATACAGTTGGGGGTTGTGGCTAGAGCGAATGCAACTTTGTTGCTATATGGCTGATCTAGGATAATGTTCTGTCTCTAGCTAGATAGGTATTTTTCTGTTTGAACTTTCTGTTGTGTTGGTAGGGCTGTACTTCTGAGAATGTGTATGTGAATATGCCTTTAAATGGTTGGTAAACAAATATTACAATGGTGGTCTTCAAGATATGCTAGGCAGAAATAATCTACGGGGGCTACTCATGACCTACACAGATGTGTTCTTGTGACATTCTATTTGATAATGGTGCAGTGGCTGAACCCACATATGAGCCCCTAGGGATGCTCAGTTGCTTCCTGAACAAGAGGGCCTGATGTGATGTGGTCCGTGGGGTCACAAAGAGTCGGACTTGACTGTGCGACTGAACAACAACAACAACTTAATATATACCTTTGTGCTTTCCTAAAACTTGGAAATTCTGCTCAACGTTTGTAGTTGTAAGGGCTGTAGTGAAGCTGGGTCTAAATCAAGTTGCCTGAGCAAAGCTCACTTATATATCTTTCCTATTTGTTCTCTAAAGAGCCCAGAACAGTCTAAATGTACTTTCCAGGCATTCTTTTATCTAGGCTGTTTACAGGACCAGACTATTTAGGGTTGATCAAGGCTTGTATCTATTTTGTGAGTCTGCTAAAAAGTTTAGTATAGAAACCTCGAAAAGGTGGAGACAAAATGGTTGCCAGACTTCCCACCAAGGGTTGAGAACATCAGGGTCATACTTTTTCAGGGGGAGGGGGAAGCTGGCTAAAAATAATATTAAATAACGAAGTTAAAGTTGGGGTCAAGACCAGTGATGTGAAAATTCACCCACACCCAAGAATCCAAGGGTCTTGCTTGCAGGTTACAGTCAGCAGGTTTGCTAGTGGCTAAGAAGGGTGTAGTAGAATCTGACTTTTTACACTTGCAATAACACAAGTAGATCTGACCTTTCAGAGAATGATGGTGCCTGACTGCAAATAAAAAGTTAAGGCAGTCAGACTACTGTCCAAAGTCTTAAATGGACTGGAAGAAGAAAGCTTGAAGGCGAGAGCTGTGAAAGATGTACCAGTTAATAGTTACCATTGGGAGTTCTCTTTGGGAATTATTTGGCTAGATAAAAATCATGCAGTCCTGACAGAATGATATTTACTCTCGGAACTGGTTTGCATTCTGACAAAACATAGCAGAAAACAGCATCCTACATATTCTTGTCAGTTCATTTATCCTTCTGGTAAATGATTTAGTTTACATTCCACATACTACTGTAAACTAACTTATTTGCACTTAAATGGGTTTAGTTGCAATGACATCTGTAGGACAAAGGTTACTCTCTTCCACTTAAAATGCTGGCATTTAACTGATTTCCACACAGATTCAGGTGGGTAGCCCTGTTGGTCAGAAGCAGCAGAACAAAGTTTGAGTCAAGTGGCACCTTTGAGACCCCCAAAGTAGTATTCAAAGTGTAAGCTTTCATGTGTGTAAAACACTTCTGTTTTGCACATGAAAGCTTACACTTTGAATAAAACTTTGTTGGTCTTAAAGGTGCCACTTGACTCATACTTTGTTCTGATCTCCAGGAAGCTACATTGTAAGTGCCGGTATGTTGTCCTATGGTTCTAAGAAAATGAAGCTGTTATATAAGCTGATTTACTTGACGGTCTTTGACTTTGCAGGATTCCATGTTACTGAAGTGGTTTTGAACAGTTACATTGTAAGCCACTTGGTGGCCAATGTGTTTAAATGTGGGGGTATACATATTGAGGAGTTGGTGTCAAAAGTGTCTTAGTGCTCTCCTTTTACAGGAAGAAAAAGAAACACTGGTGGTGTCTAATGTTCAGGGTTTACCCGTCATGTCTGAAGCTTTGGAGGATATATGCTAGTAGTGGGTAATGGTTGCTAGAGGCAGTGATAACAATGGTCCTTACAGGACCATCATAAGCTTTAGAAGCAGAAACTCATTACAGGAACTTGTTACAAGGTCCAACACTCAGTTCTTTGATCTCCCCTAAGGTATGTGTCAACATTAGCACTTCAGAGTCTACTGAGATTTATTGGAGCATGCATACAGTTCTGCATGGGAAAGAGACTTTTAGAATGCACATATAAAATCACTTCAAATGCATTTCCTATCAGTCTTCCAGCCTGTAGAAATTTCTATACCTGGGATAGTTTCCTGTAGACATTATGGATATTCATACCTAGAATTTTTTTTTCTCCCCTAAGGTGTAGATTATCGATTCCCATTAGCATCTAATACTGGTGAGTTAATGTATTTGATAAAAAAGAAAGGCTTGAGTTCAAAACTCTTATGGATGGAAGAGCTTGTGTACTGTTGTTCTTTGCCCTTTGAAATAAGATGAGACTCCCCAGTCACTTTACTTATAGGCTGAGCTTCTAGGTGAGCAGAAGCTCCAGTCCTTTATCAAATATATTCTTCCAATTAACATGCAATATTGGGGACTTCTCCTATGTCCCTTAGAAAAGGAATTATAAAGGTAGAGACATCAACTTTTCTGACAACACTTCAGCAATGATATAACTGGCAGAAATGTACTGTGTGAAGCTTTCCCCCCCAACTCTGCATCTGCTTGGTGGGAAGGGAAGAGTCTCCCCTCTTGCATATATGATCATCAATGTAGTGTATTTGGGGGGGGGGATTATGGTAAAAAACGTAGCTTTAAATTAAATACACAATAACATGAAGAGTTTAAACCTGTGATGCCTAACCCAGAGTCTTTATTATAGTTATAATAATTGATATTCTATAAAGGTGAATTATGTCCTTCAGGTGGTCAGCCATGTTGGTCTGAAGCAGTAGAACACATTTAGAGTCCAGTGGCACCTTTAAGACCAACAAAGGAATAAACCTTTGTTGGTCTTAAAGGTGCCACTGGACTCTAAAGTGGTGTGATGTATGATGGCAATCTAATTGTGGAATTCTAAACTGCAAAGAGACAATACTTATTTAAACTGTATGCATGTAGCTTGCATGGTAAAATATTTTATGTGAAGAGGGATGATTTCTCTGCCACTGAATGACATATGTTGCTTCATACATAAATCATGCTTCAAACTAGACAGGTGTCCCCAGGATAAGCAATTAAAGTGAAGTCATAGCATAGACAGTATAGTTAAGATTGAGTCTTAGAAGTAGCTCTGGTACTATTTTTCCTGATGGTTAACAGGAAAAAAAGGAAAAGGAGTAGGTCCACAAGCAATTGCATGTAACAAGACAACAACAACAAAAAAGATTCCAGACCAGTACAGTGGATAACAATTATAATGTATAGTGGAGAATCTATTATTATAAAAACATTCAATATGATAGAACATTTTCATAACAAGCTGAATTTTGTGTCCTTTAAATTTGAAGATATAATAATTAAATGTTCATCTTATATGTTGACAAATTCAGTCAATTGCTTGCACAGTAATCTTAACTCTAGAGTGAAAACACAGAAAGCAGCTGCATCTCCCTCAGTCACCTGAGAAATATGGGGTATGTGGGAAATGTAGACATCTATGAGTTTCCTATGCAGGTGCAAAAGCAGGTGAGGGGTGGTAGAGTGAAAAAGTAGTCTGTGCTGCTCTTTAAGTTGCTACTGTATTCTGTTAAAAAAGATCTGGAAAAATAATTGGAACTACCAACTACCAATACATGTGGCATCCTTTGCCAACCTCAGCTGTTTCTGGTGTCTTTCTGTCATGTCCTTATAGGTTGAATACTCTTTAGTATTCATTCTTGTTTACACTTCCCTATTTCTGTCTCCTGTATATTTCCCTTTTACATTTCAGCTCATCAGAGTTTCCTGTGCACCCCCACTGGTCTCTTCAGCTAGCTTATATTTTTCTCTCTGTTTGGAATAGTTTGTGATAGCTTTTAGTATTTCACCTTTAAGAATCTCCCGTTCCTCTGTACCATTACTCTTCATTAACCATCCTTGTTGCAGTGGCATTATATGTATCTTCCTGAGAGGTCATCTAGCTGCTACTGATATATTCAAAATAACTTCACAGCAATTCTAATTTCCCATAGAATCTGGTACCACTGAGTTACATTAAAGAAATTCTGTCACATAAAAAACACAAAACCCGGAAACTTTTAGTACAAATTTCCGGATTCACTTACTGTAACGTACATTGGCCCTTAACATTTTATCCCAGTGATTTTTAGGCTAGGTGTATTCAGTCATATTCAAAGGATGGTTTAATTTGGAAAATGTTTTCTTTCTGAAGTCATTGTTTTCAAAAGCTCTCTTGGTTCTCTTAATATATTATGTATAGGGTTGTCCGTAGGCATGGCAATAAATATACTACCCCCCCTTAGTAGAGGCTGAATGTGTAGAAATAGGCAGGTTAAGCTTTTCATGGTCTGTAGGTAAATAACACTCCATTAAGACTCTATTAAATTTTTCTCCGAGCATCTGGCAACCCTAATTATAAATTAACCAAAAAGGCACTCTAAAAACTGCTAACTTGAAAACATTGAAAAGGTGGAGTATATTCATACCAAACTACTTAAAGCTCTCAGTATGTTTTATAAGTGCACAGTGAACATTACATTTTTATGTCCTGCCTCTGTTATACAACTTGCAACATAATCTCTTGCATGTTTACTCAGAAGTAAGTCCCAGTGTATTCAGTAGGGTTTCCTTCCAGGCAAGAGAAAGAGTTGCTTTTTATACCCCACTTTTTTCTACCC